AGCCGTTGCCACCACAGCCCCTGCAGGACTGACTTCCTTCCGCTTGGTCTCGGTTCTGGTCTGGTCGTGATGAACACCACCCAGGGTTTTTATATAAGTAGATTATTAGCAAGATGCTTATAGGCCTGTGGACCTACAATGGATGAATATACTTTTCATCACTTCAATGTTTCATATCGCTACTTGATTATTGAAGTGAATATACATTGAAGTTTACTTTTTCTTCCCTGAAATGTGAAGTGTTAGAATTTTTCTGAATAAGTATTAGATTATTCCAGTCACTCCATAGGGATAATTATTAACTCTTCATCCCATGAAGAAACTTCATGCCATTTTACATTTTAACCACAGAGTTTACATCTGGCAATTGGAGCACTTGAAATGTGACTAATGCATCTAAGGAACTAAATTTTATTTAATTTTAATTAAATTTAAATAGCCACACATATTTGGGCAGTGAAGGTAGAGGAACTCCTAGGATTTTGGAATTAGTTGAATGGTTGGTGCCATTCACCAAGCTAGAGAAGACAAAAAGGATATGGGAGAGATCATGAATTCAGGATGGACAAGTTATGATTTGGATTAAGATACAACAGACAGGTGGTAACTCCTGAATCCCAGAAATAGGTATTCAAGCTGGCAAGGTGTAGAGGCGTGGATTTGGCAGCTGTTGACATGGCAGCTGAGCTATAAGCTAGACCAGAGTACCATCATTCACAGAACAACCTCTGAGCCTTTGCTTATTTGTTCATTCTGCCTCCCTTCAGTTTGCCAAAATTCCGTTCAAGGCTTAGGTCAGAAACCTCTCTGATTACAAAAATGAAACTGGTTGTCCTCTATGGCACACTGTGAACAACACAAAGTAGGGACTGGGTCTCACTCATCTTGTGCCCTAATACCTGTAACAATGAGGAGGTACACACAGTAGGCGCTCCTTCAGTATTTGTGAAACCAGTTTCGAGAAGAGGCTTCACATTCTTTTTGGACAGAGGTGAATCTGTCCCTTTTCTCCTGCTCTTCATCCTCAGAATGTACCTTGTGTCCTGCTCTGTCATGGTTTCTGATTGGGATGGCAAAAATAGAGCCCAGAGGCAGACAAAGATGACTAGAGCATGATCAGTGTCAGCACTGACCATGTCCCTATGAAGGTTCATAAAATGGAAATTGACCTTCCCCTGAGCCATGCCTCAATACAAGCATTGGTAGGGAGCACATGTTTAGGACTCTCTCTCTCTTTTTGAGAAAACCATCAGATTAGCTCCACTCAGATTTCTAGCTTGTGGCCAGTGAACGTCTACAGATACTGAAACCAGCATGTATCTTTGTTCATGTATCTTTTATTCATGTATTCAATGGATGTTGACTAGGTGCCTACTATGTGCTAGGTATTGTGCATTCAGCAAAGGCATGATCTCTGCCCTCATGAATGAATCAGAAATGAATCAAAGAAGTATTCAAGTAAATATCAAATTTACCCCTGATTATTCCTATAAAGGGACCTGGGAAATTTCCACAAGGAAATGATTGAGCTAAGACCTAAAGGAAGGCCAGGAATTGACCAGACATAGGGGTTGGTGGTGGGGACAAGAGCAAAGGAGACAGCAGTGACAGGAAGGGCTCAAGGTGCTACTGAGGTACTAAAAGCCAGAATGGCTGGAACAGAGAGCAAGGGGCACATGCTGCAAGACAGTCTTGGAGAGGTGTGGGGAGGCCAGCCATGGTAGAGATTTTTGGTTTTATAGTAAGCATAATGGGAAATTGTGGAAGTGTTTTAAGCAGGGAGGTGAAATCAGATTTGCATTTTTCAAACTTCACCCTGACGGTAGTGAGAATAACAGATTTGGAAGGGTCCCAGATAGATGTGGAACCATGGCACTCTGGACACATTTAGAACTATTTATTAATCACTGATGTTACTTTAATTTGTAGGAAATATCCTTAGCTAAGCAGGGTAGGACTCAATATAGGAATGTAAGCTAAATGTGGAAATGTATGACTGACTAAATTTTTCACTTTTTCTCCTATATTAGGCAATTGATTGAAGGAACAGATGTTCTTCAACAACTGGAATTGGTTCCAACAGAGAATGAAAGACCAATACCACAATGTACAATTATTGACAGTGGAAATGTTTATGCTTGATTTTCAAATCAGTATTTTCCGAGTTTATTATGTATCTGATCAGCTGTTTCTAGATTTAATTAAACCATGCTTGATAAAATGTAATTTGAAAACTGTCGCAGACGCAGTAGTAGTTGGTTCACCCAAAACCCAGTATTTCCCCTTTTCCCTTTCTTGCCTCTGCAGTCTAGACTATAAAAGCACAAAAGTCAATTTCCCAGCCTCCTTTACTACCAGGAGGAGTGGTCATGGGATACCATTTTGGCCAGGAGTAGAATGCCAGTGGTCCTGACCCTTGCCTTTCATCAGTCTTGAATGCAGAGAGGCTAGAGCCATAAAAGAAAGGCCAAGAAAACTGCAGAGATGTCAGTCCCAACTCTTGAGCTGTGGAACCAATACCCAAAACTACCTATCTCTGGACTTCTTACTATATGAGAAAAATAGAGCCCTGTTTATGTTGGTTGTGTATTTTGTTACTTGTAGCCAAAGCCATTAATTTATAGCAGTACCTAATGAATGACCCTTGAATCCTAAAATATTTTTTTGAAATAGGTTTTTTATTTATTTGAGAGAAAGGGAGAAACATGGACAAGAACCTTCACTTGGCTGCCTCCTGCACACCCCCTACTGGGAATGAAGCCTGCAACCTGGGCATGTGTCCTGACCAGCAATTAAACCAGGGAACTTCTCAGTGCATGGGACATCGCTCAACCAATTGAGACACACCAGCCAGGGCAAATCCTAAAGTATTTGTAATTATGTTTTTGTAACTACATTATCTACCATGAGAAACTTATTAAAAAACAAGAGACTATAGAAAAAAATAATTGTTACATTTCATTGTTCATAGTTAGCATTCAAAAAAGGCTATGGTTGGATGTTTTTATATGACATGAATAGTATGCTTATCTCTGAGCCATACCAACCAAGGGCTTGGGTTGCAGTCCCCATGGTGGTTGACTCCTGAAATGTTATTGGGGATCCAGCTTTATCAGAGATTAATCTGAGATTTTCAAACCAGTGACACCTGGGAAACTTTTTCAACAAGACTGCTGGACCCTGTCCTTGCCCTACTCAAGAGTCTCTAAGATGTGTGAGATAGGGATTCTGTGCATTTAGCTCTCTCCCCAAAGGTTCTTATTTAAATGCTGGACACTAGTCATTTGGGAATCATTGCAAGATATGGTTTCAGCCCTCTTTTTATAGTCAGTGACATGCTTGTTAGTGGTGACCCTGCTCAGCTGCTACCGCCATCACCATTCTGCTCCTGCCCTGCCCAGAGCCATTATGCTTTTCTTGCCCTTAGATTTGTCTTCAAACATAAAGTCTCTTTGGCCCTGGCTGGTTTGCCTCAGTGAATAGAGCATTGGCCTGTGGACTGAAGGGTCCTTCCTGGATTCAATTCTGGTCAGGGGCACATGCCTCGGTTGCGGGCTGGATCCCGAGTGGGATGTGCAGGAAAGAGGCAGCCAATCAATGATTCTCTCTCATCATGGATGTTTTTCTCCCTCTCTGAAATCAATTAAAAAATACGTATTAAGAAAACAAAACAAAAACATGAAGTCTCTTTGAGCCAATCTTATAGAGACATCTCTAATTGACTTGGAGCTTGCCAAAGGTAGGCATGTACTTAAAAAAAAATGATAGCCCTGACCGGTTTGGCTCAGTGGATAGAATGTCAGCCTGCGGACCCAAGGGTCCCAGGTTCGATTCTGGTCAAGGGCATATACCTTGGTTGCGGGCACATCACCAATAGGGAGTGTGCAGGAGGCAGCTGATGTTTCTCTCTCATCGATGTTTCTAACTCTCTATCCCTCTCCCTTCCTCTCTGTAAAAAATCAATAAAATATAAAAAAAAATGATAGACTCACAGGAAGTTACAAAAATAGTAGTCTTGTGTGCCAATTATGCAGTTTCCCCAATATGCATATCTTATACAACTACAGTACAGTACTAAAATAGGCAACTGACATTGGTACATGTACTGTCATTTTATCGTGTAGATTCACATGACTGACACCACAATCAAGACATAGAACTTATCCAGTGCCGCAGAGAGCTCCCTAGGGCTACCCCTTTGTAGTTACACCTAATGCCCACCACCATCCCTAACTCCTGAAAACTGGCTCAGCCCAGCCAGTGTGACCAAGTGATTGAGCATTGACCAATGAACAACAAGGTCACAGTTCAATTCCTGGTCAAGGCACATGCCCATGCCTGGGTTGCAGGCTTGATCTGGTGAGGGGCATGCAGGAGGCAGCCAATCAGTGATTCTCACATCATCAGTATTTCTTTCTCCTCTCTTTCTCTAAAATCAATAAAAATATATTAAAACACACACACACAAACCAGTGCAATGTAACAAAAAGTTGTATACTAAGATCTGAAATAGAGATAAAGCATGCTGTCACATTCTCAACTGACTCAGAAGCAGCCCAGTGTTAAGGATGTGTGTTTTAAAGGCAGACAGCCTGAGTTTGAGTCCTAACTCTGCCATTCCCTAGATTCAAACGCTCAGGCAACAACTCCACTGTGTGTCTATTTCCTCATCTCAAAACAGTAGTATCTACCACATAAAGTTGTGAGGATTCAAGGAATCAATCAATTGTATACAGGACCTAGACAGGAACTGTTATACTCTAAGTGCTCAATAAATTAATTACCAGTGTATAACCTTCAGGAACTTGTATTTTTTATTTTCAGCTTAAAATAAGTTTGCTTAAGTACAAAGGGTGAGTCAACACACGGAAAAACAGAAGTAACAGTACTTGGAGCTTGAGGCAGGTGGACCTTCTGGACAGGTGTGTATCCTCTGGTGGGCCTGGGGCCATCTGAGGGTGAGGCCTCACCTGGACACCTTGTCTGCTTACAGGGGCCCCCACTAGCCTGCCCTACAGTTGCCTGGGCCTGGCAGGGTACATGTTCAAAGGCTTCACTGAGGACGGGGCCTGCCTGGGATGGGCAGGTCCTGGTGGCTGGACCTCAGTCACTGTCATGCCCTCTCCGCTTCTTGGGGGAGGAGTTGGAGTCGTGCTTGCGATGGTGGGCCCTGGTCGGAGCCGAGGACAGTGAGGTTCTGTGCTCCTTTTCTCTCTTCTTCTCTTTCTTGTGCTTCTTCTTTTTCTTCTTCTCTTTCTTGCTCTTCTTGTGACTCTGGGGACCCTGCTCCACCTTCTCCTCTTGCCTAGGCTTCTTCCGAGCTGGGGAGGCCCCGGGTCGACTGCTGTCCACGCCGTGGTGCGTGAACACTGGCAGCCCCAGCTTGGCCGCCTCCTTGTCTTCTCGGGACAAGGCCACTCGGCCTGCAGAACCGCTGGAGCTCCCCAGGCCCAGGAGCCGGTCCACCCCCTTCTCCTCAGGGTCACCACCTTCACGCTTGCAGATCTCCACAAAGTCCTCCTTGCTCAGGCCAGTGGGCTGCTTCCGCACATTCTTGTAGCCCAGCGCCGCCATGAGCGCCTCCTGCTCCGCCTGCCTCACGGCTGCCAGCTCCTGCTCTCGGCTCATCCCCGCGCCCTCCGCCCGGCCCTTGGCGTACCAGGTGAGGTCGCGGCCCTTCTGCCAGCGGCCCACCGGGGCCATCAGCGAGTTGCCCAGGTAGTTCTCCCTCTGCTTGTCAGTCTTCACATCCTCCCAGCTGAACTGGTCCTGTCCCCCTCGCACGCCACCTCGACTGGAGCCGAACATGGTGCTGGCGGCCCCTTGGCCTCCGGTCCGGAACTTGTATTTTTAAAGGCTCCTCAATGACTCTGATTAACAGCCAGATTTGGGAATCACTGAGGAGGAGCTATCTCCTCTTCCTTAGTCTGAGTTTCAGCCAAGCTGAGAACTCAGGCTGTTTGAATGAAGCCTCCAGATCCTCTCTGGGCCTGTGGATGGGTTCCTGTGGTCACACTGGGGACTTCTCAAAGGGACTCCCACCAGCTAGTGAGGCACTGGATGAATGAAACTGATGCTTTGAAGAGATCCTGGTTAAAACAAAAGCATCAATCATGCATTAACAAACAATAATTCTTACTGGCAATGAACCCATATATTAAGACATTAAGTATTTTATGTGAAAGAATTGGATTATCTGCATGGATGTAAGAAACTGATTTCAGCTCCCTGTATAGATCAGTGTAGCTGCAATGTAAATGCTGCAAACTTTCTATAGAATGGCACATTCGGAGTCCTTTTGCTGCCTCTCCCTTTCCATTTTCAGGCTGTATAGAAGCTTTACTGATCTGTATCCAGGGGTGGGCAAACTTTTTGACTCGAGGGCCACAATGGGTTCTTAAACTAGACCGGAGGGCCGGAACAAAAGCATGGATGGAGTGTTTGTGTGAACTAATATAAATTCAAAGTAAACATCATTACATAAAAGGCCGTGGTCCTTATTACCCCCACTAATGGTACACACAAAATACTACTTCTGTATCAGAATATAACATGTATTAGAATGATCTGTATGTTTAAACACGTTTGGAGAAACTGTTACAAAGGAGTCAAAGCTTATCCCTATTAACTGCAAATATAACACTTTGATTTAACCAAATTGAAAGACTTTGATTAAACAGAAAGAATTTGACTTTTCCAAGCCTACAAATAGGAGAGCAAAGCCATTTTAATGATTATTCAAAATGTTAGTTATATGACCTTACCCTAATGGCTGATATGGCAGAGTCAAGTCCATAGACTGTATCTTACACTAAGCCATATTAATAAGGGAATGTGGTATCTGGACATTTTTCTTATTTTGGGAGATTTGAGATAAACTTTTAAAATTCTATCTAAAGAATTTGTTTGCCCCAACTACAAACAGTGCCATTATTTGTTAACTAATGGATAGTGTGGTAACCTCAGGATCCCATACTCTATATGTATTTTAAATAAGGAATGTTTGTTTAGTCCCAGCTATCTAGCAATGGCTCGTCAAATCACTTTACCTTTCACTTTCCTCATTCGTAAAAGGAACAGAGAAGTAAAAAAGTTGTTGGCTTCCTTCTAGCTCTAATCACTTTAGTGATTCTGTGTACATTTATAAAATCAATAACAATACTATTATTTGCTTTGGGGCTTCAATTTCATTAGTTAAATGGAGGTACTACTATCTCACAGTGGTCTGTGGATT